CAAAGCCATGACAAAGGAGGAAAAATTTCGATTAGGGTTCGTGGGTTTTCAATTTTGGGATAAATAAATCCTTCGTTTTTCCTTTTGCAATTTATTTTCTTTTTAATTAATTGTTTTTTAAATCAGTGAAAAATGAAACTGGGCTTAGATTAGGGGTTTAATTGGATTTTCACAAAAAAAAATATGCTATATAGATAATGTTATGTTCAATATATGGCATATGGACAATGCAATTGTTGTTTTGTTCTCTATTTACAAATTTCTCTAAAATTTGTTCCTCCTGCAAAAGATATTCATGGCTTGGGTTCAACGACTACTTCCTATAAGTTGTTGGCATTTTCTTAATAAAAAGAAAGTCGTGTATCTTTTGAAATACTCACTAAATAAAATAAAAAAGAATTACATTCAGAGATGGTTTATGGGTTTTATTAACAGAATAGGACAGTTCTAGCTACTAAGGTAGTTTTGTTTAACCAAACCTATTTTTTGGTAAAAAAATAACTAAATAAGTGTCAACTACACTAACTAAATCTAATAAATATTTTCATAGTTAGGAGATATAATAAAGTCGTCTATTTCTCTTTTTTCATCGTCTTCCTCCTCGTCAATTTTCTATTTTCTTTGTAAACTGAAATTTGTTGTTTCAATTTTTTTTTTAAACTTATAGTTATTCATTATTTACATTTTTTGTCTATCTTTTGAGATATAATCTTTGAAGGTGATGATATGGTGTTGTATATGACGGTGACGTCAACGATGGAGATCGCTTCTCTCGCTACCCTCTGCTTCTGCTCTGAAAACACCGGAGAACCTTAGCCAAGCTTAATTTTCAAGCTGCTACATTTGTCTTCTTTGTGATGTCTCATGGTGATTTTAATATTTCAAGATGTAATGCATTTAAATTTTTTTTCCAAATTTGTAAAGCCACATTTGTAATCTTTTTGAAATATATCCACCTTACATAGTTTCATGTGGACAACTATATCAGAGTGTATATGTGTATAAGATATATCCGAATGTACAATCTTCTTCTTGATGAACCATTTTGGAATATTTTAAAAAATATGTTCACCTTGCACGATGTATCCATCAGAGTGTACATGTGTACACTATGTATCTAAATGTATACTAATACTCAATATCCCGCATCCACGCCATTTTACTTATACATGGTACACAAGCTGTGTGATGTCATGATTTTAATGAGTTTTAATAGGATATTTCTGCAAACAAAAAAGTTTAGAGCCAAAACGAAATTGTACAAAAGTTGGAGGACTAATTGTGCAAGAAAGTCAAAGTTGGCTATTGTTGCTGGAGTTTCATTTTGTGCTCATGGGCTGCTGTTCGGAGATCAACCAGTGACGACAAGGTGAGACAAAGATGACATAAACGTTAGTGAAGCTTGATCCTTGACCTCTGGCATTGAAGAAGGAGCACTTCAAAGAAAATGATATTACCCGTAGTCGTTTGTCATATTCCCCCACCATTGACGACTCTGCAAGTAAACAAAGATTTGATTTTTTTTCTCTACAAAACTCAAATAAAACAAAAGAATCTAAAACACTTACCATAGGCAGTTTCTTTCTCTAGCCATTTATATTTCACCATCTTCTCCATTACGTCTGTCACCCCAAAATCTTGTTTAGATGAGAATTAGATTTTCCTAGATTTCTTTGGTTTTTCATCTAGATAATCACATAAAAGAAGGAAAACTTTATTGTGTGGTGGATAACACAAGTTATCTCTGAGATAAGTGATTGGAAAATTAAATTTAGTTGACTTTTATTTCAGATCCAGTTTCTATAATTATTTCAAAATTCAAAAATATAACTACACAAAAAAAATAACTCTTAGGAGGTGTTAGTGGGAATTGAATTCATAAAGATTCTTAGAAAAAAATTTCATGTATTGTGTTATTGGTTTATTGATTCTTACATTTTAATTAAAGTTTAGTGTTATTGGTTTGATGATTTTGTAATTCTATACAAAATGCTTTGTTATTCAAAAAGTTTATATTTTAATGATTATACAAATCTATTAAATAGGTGTTATTGGGAGTTATATTCTCAATATTTTAACTCACATAACAAAATTTTGAGAGTACTCCATATATCCATTGGATTCTTATAATCATTGTAGTTCTAGTTATCATACTTTATTTTCATAGATTTTCACAATATACAAAATTCTCTACAACTCTTTTCAAATTTAACAAATTCATCAATTCTTAAAATCAACAAACTCTATAGAAATCTAAGTCTCACTAATACCCTCTTAACTAAAAAGTGTCTAGTTTCATTTTATTGTAGGCTATTAGGAAACTGATTTAAGAAAACTACCCTAGTAGAACAATGTGTCTTAGAGTGTAATAAAAAACATAAAACTGACTTGAGTGAAAATAACTCCTAAATAAACTCATATGCAATCGAGTACTAACATTTTATTGGCTGGGAAATTAATCATATTGTCTTGTCTTCAATGTTCTCTAGTCATTATACAAGACTCAGGAGCATTTAACATTTCGTTTTATTGAAACTGATAAAGAACATATTACATCATAAAAGAATAAACATCGTAAAAGAATACGGTATAGCCATAATGAGAAATTAATGGTCTCTCCACATTGGAAACTACCAAGAACAAACATCATTGATAATACATTAGCCATACGAAACAGGTCTTGTTTCAAAATAAAATAGATTAGATATTCTCATTCAAATAATAGCAGGCATACTTCTAATACTTTGAATGAAAACATGACAATAATTCTCATTGTCTAGAACTCTAGATACATCTTTCATAGCCTTTATCAAATTTGTTCAGAGTTAGCTTTAGTTAAACGACCGTTGAGCAAGCTTGAAATGCAAAGTACAATCATATAAATAATGGGACTGATGGATCCTTCCCATGTCACCACTGCAAACCTGACCGGAACCACTTCGGTAAACCAAACTACTTCATAGAACCTTCGCAGTGACCTTAAAGACCAAAAGATATTTAATCACGACAAACCAGTCTGCCAAGCGGAATACACCATGGAACACCACCCTCCGGTCTAACACCTAACCATTGCAGCAACAACAAAACCAAAGATATAATCACCAGACTCACCCACCAAGAAAAGATAAAAAAAAAACAACTGAAAGAGAAAAGCAAAAACAAACAAAGGGGAGAGGGGTTGCTTCTCCAGTGCTGACAAGAAACACAAGCCACTGGAGAGGGAAGAAAATGATCAGATAGAAGTTGGCAGCTGGGAGAAGGAGGAGAGGATTATGGCAAAATCATGGCCATGTAATTTAATTCGACGTTTGAGCATAAAATATATGTAAAACAAAGAAAGATACATGATTATTTTCAGTTGATAAATATTACAAACGTGTAATAACCATATATATATATTTTAAATGGTATTTATCCTCCTATATATTAATTGAAAAATCACTTAATTAGTTTTGCTAGTGTGTCAGTCATAAGAGAGCTCACAAAGTAATTATTTTGATTTTGATTGGTTGAGGATTTTTAATTTTTTATTTATTTAGTTCAGTTTAAAAAAGACTAAATCAAAATGAATGTACATCAACAAGGAAACAAATCATAATTAACAATAACAAATTTTTTTAACGCTGGATTTTATTTCAACAGAGGTTTGAGGAATGCACCCATGGAAGGAGCAAACCATCAATCTAAGAGTACAACTTACTTAACAAAATTCACTAGTAAAAAGCAGTAATGAATTTAAAAACAGGGAAATGTAACAAATTAAGCTAAAATAAAAACAAGACCACCAGTAGATGGCACAGCAACACTCAACAGGGAGATAAGAGTCAGGGCAAAATGAACAGGAACAGCAGTGGGCAGATGAAGACGCTGCAGTGTCCCTAAGAGACGAAACTGTTAGCAACTATGTAGGCAACCGTTGTGGTTCTAGCAAGTTCCGGAGCCAACTAGGACCACCAGTCGCTACATACAATAATAATGGTTATCACAAATATGTATTTAAGGAAATTGTGTCATAAAATTATTTTGTTCATTTAAGAAAAGAGTGACTTAAAAACTTTCCTTTGCATATTTTATAGTAGATAATAATAAAAAATACAATTAGTGATTAGACACTTAGACTTAACTAACAAACTATATCAATTATATATATAGTGTGTCTAACTCTTTTGATTTCTCTGAATCATTTAAATGAAATTTATTTATAGTGTCCTTACATTTTCTATTAGTTGGAATTGTTTGGTTATATATATATATATATATATATATATATATATATAAACATGTTTAGCATTGAATAATTCACATGGTGCATTACTCTAAGCCATATTTGTCGATGAAATTATTTTGTAATTCAAAAATATTATTATTAATTCAAAAAAACATGTTCAGAAATTATTGTCATGTACATATCATCTTTAGAAAATATTATTTGTGTTATCATGTATATTTTTTTTTTAGAAAATATTATTGGATGTATAAACGTAATGTAATATTAAATTAATGATATTCAAAAATCAAAATTATATATAGTAGTTATTCAAAAATGATATTTGGAGCATACATTAATTATTTTTTACTATGGTTATTGATAAAAATCTAGTTAAATACTAAAAAAAATCATATTTATATTTTAAATACATATAAAATAAACAAAATTAAAAATTCATTTATTTAGAATATATAAAGAAATTCACATTAATTTTTTTTAAAATATATATATATATATATATATATATATTATAACGTGTCAAAAACATAACAAATAATATATTATGTTAAATTCTAAAGACTATATATCTGCGAATTCGTGAACAACAAGCACCTAATTGTATTTAACTAGTATTACTGTTCCTTAGTTAAGAACTTAAGATTAGATGAAACCGCTGATGTTTAGTCTGGCATTAATGGGCAAAATAAATTCGGTAAGGTAATGGGCCAAGGCCCATGAATATATAAAGTAAGACCGCTGACGCCGCCAGAAATGTAAGAAACCGAACAAAGTTTCTCTCTGCGTAACCTTTTACCTCTCTCTCTCCCTCTCTCTCTGTCTCTCATCTTCTCAGCGGAGGCATCGGCGATCAGTAAGTTCTTGGCATCTGTTTCTGAGAATTGAATCCGACTGATATATGATCCAATTTTTGTATGTATCTTTTGTTTTTGTTTTTCAATCGATGCAGGAAAAAGGAGTATTTGAGATGGGTTGTACGGTTAGAGAGAAGCACGTGAGAGCGGCCCGGAAGATCCGAGCCGCATACAAATCGGAGGTCGATCTGGATAGGGTTGCTCTATCAAAATCCATCGTGGAGTCAAGCCTCAAAAGCCTCGTTTACCATCCAGGTCTCACTGGCTCGTCCTCCTCCTCCTCCACCTCAGGGACTTGTTGCGTCCACAGTTGTTTAGACGAGAGCGTGTGGGCGGAGGAGAATCTGGAGGAGATCTTGCTGAAGCATTTGGAGTTTGTGTACGACCAAGCTGTGTCCAAGCTTATCGATTTGGGGTGCGAGGAGAGCGTGGCCATGAGAGCCGTTTTGAGTAACGGCCATTGTTACGGTGAATCTGATGTGTTGAAGAACATTGTGAACAACTCTTTGTCGTATCTGAAGAGCAGCAGTAATGGTGGTGGTGATCAGTCAGAGACTGGTTTTACCGATTTGAGGGATTTAGAGGAGTATTCCCTTGCTGGTATGGTTCACTTGCTGCGACAAGTTAGGCCTAGTTTGAGTAAAGGTGATGCTATGTGGTGTTTGTTGGTGAGTGAGCTTCATGTTGGTAAGGCGAGTACTATGGATCTTTCGAGTTTGGGAAACAGGGCAACTTGTCCTAAGGATGATGATCATAGCTGTGTACAAGGTACATTGGATCTCGCTGGTTCTTTATGTCGTTTCCATGGAGGTTGGGATTTTGGGAATGGAGGAGGAGGGCCTGAGTTTTCTGGTAAAGGGTTTTCTGTGACCAATCGTGAGTTGAAATTGCAGAGGGAGATTGAGTGTCCCAGGAGGTTTAATCTTTCTCCAGCCATGAAGTCCTTGTTGAAGCGGAATGTCGCTGCCTTTGCTGCTGGGTTTCGTGCTAGTATGAAGCAGAAGCAGATAGATGATGGTGAGAGCACACTTGTGGAGACTGAAGAAAGTGTTGGCTCGGTGTTGGACAAGTTTCGCGGCCTCAGCCTTGATGATAATCTTGAATCTCTTTGTGAGGATGGTGTGATTATCACACTGCTTCATCAGGTCAAGGATCTCGAGAACAAGTTGAAGGAAAGGAAAGAGTGGGCTCAGAAGAAGGCGATGCAAGCTGCTCAAAAGGTCAGCGATGAACTCACCGAGCTTAAAAATTTGAACAGCGAAAGAGAAAGTATCCAGATGTTGAAGAAGGGGAAACAAGCTGTTGACGAATCAACCGTGAAAAGATTGTCCGAGTTGGAAAATGCTGTTAGAAAAGCTACTTGTCAACGTGACACAGCAAATGCAATTGTTAGAACACTTGAGAATCAAAACGCAGAGATCCGAGCAGAGAGGGAAGGTCTCAAACTAAGTGCATCAGAATCACTTAAAGCGTGCATGGAAGAATCAAAGAAGGAGAAGAAATGCTTGAAGAAGCTTTTGGCATGGGAGAAGCAGAAGTTGAAGCTGCAGGATGAGATTACAGATGAGAAAGAAAAAATTAAAGCCCTTTATAGGTCTTTGGCTCAGATAACACAGGATGAAAAGGAAATTGAGGTACGTTAGTTTTCATGTATTGTCATCAGTAATACCCTGCATGTTCTCTAGATCGTTACAACTCTCATTCTGAGGCGTGCATCTAGTTACCAATTTGGTACTGTGTTTAGATGGTAGGTTGTTACTTATGCCAAATAACATCAAAGAGCATTCAAGAAGCAATAGTCTGCATCTTCCACACTTTTTTCCCTAGGGCTATCATCTTCGGGAGAATCAGTTTTAAAACCTGGCTAAAGAATTTGTCATGCCTCTCTATAAGATTCATGAGCTAGGCTTTATCTCTCTCTAAGCTGTGGGTACATTCTCTATGTTGTTGCACATTTGTGTTCAAAAACTTGCTCAAAATATTCATGCTTACCTTATTTATGGTCGATAGCTTAGATTTGAAACGTTAATGTATCGGATTCTTTTTACATTTAGATTAATTTTATTGGCAGGCGAAAAGGGTGGAGGAACAAAAAGCAAAGGAGCAAGCTCTGGCTCAAGTGGAGGAGGAACAACGCTCAAAAGAAGCAGCTGAGGCACACAACAAGAGAAAGCTGGAGACTCTACGGTTAAAAATAGAACTAGACTTCCAACGACACAAAGATGATCACCAAAGGCTTGAGCAAGAGTTGTCTCGGCTCAAAGTCTCTTCAGATACTGACTCAAGCCACTTATCCAACAATGTTTGGGAACCAGAAAAGTCTCAAGGAGAAAACATCGCTAAGCTGCTTGAAGAACTCGATAGACTTGAAGGGTCTTATGAGAGTGAAGCAAACAATGATAGGGAATGCATAATATGTATGAAAGATGAAGTCTCCGTGGTATTTCTTCCGTGTGCACATCAAGTAGTGTGTGGTGGTTGCAGCGATAATTTCTTCTCGAGCAACAACAGTGGCGGAGGCAAAGTCACTTGTCCTTGCTGCAGAGCTGTGGTTCAGCAGCGCATTCACATCTTTGGAGCAACTTCGTGAAAACTGAGATAGCGCTTCTCTTTGGGATTCAAAGAGATCATCACAAATTCAGGTTTTACTTTGCAAGTACAAAAAAAAATAATAATAAATGCTTAGCTTCTTCGGCAAAGCTTTCTATACTGGGAATTTTATTTTATTTGGAAAAAGTTTTTTTTTTTTTTTTTTTTTGCTCGATGTACTACAAAGAAAACATTAAGTAAGAACTCGGATTGGTTCGGTTTTGTTGAACCGGATTAGACACTTGTTAGTAAAAACAAGGACAACCACAAGTTCTCGATTACAACAACTATGAATGCTTTCTTTGTCTAGTTTTCTTCTTCTATGTTTTGTTGTGTGGCAAGAAATGTCTTCGTGTGCCATCATCTCAAACCCAGTTCGTACCGTAAAGATCTTGAAGAGAAGAAGTCCTTACAGTGGTCTGTTTGGTTGGAACTCCGGTGAGAAACCAGACAATCTCCGACTGCCACAGAAACTGGTCTACCACGACGACGTCGAAGTTCCTTTCTCTCTTTCGTTGGTAAACAAAACCTTCCTAAAGGGTAATATAAATATAATGCATTCTTCATTCTATTAGACTCGTACAATCTACGTGAAAAGAAGTGAGTTTTTATCTGAAATTCTTTTTAATCATAGGAAAAGAATTAAAATGTTGCTACAAGGCAAGCATCGATGGGTTTAGCGCAACAAAGTTCCATGAACTTTGTGATTTCAAAGGTCCATGTGTTATCATAGCTTACACCAAAGACATGTCTTTCAAGTTTGGTGGATTTAGCTCTGAAGGCTATAGAAGCACTGATGATTATTATGATACATTCGACGCTTTTCTCTTCTACTGGCTCGACGAGAGCGATGAACCAGTCGTCCTTCCTAAGGTTGGAGGTAGTGGAGCGGCTCTGTTTGATTATGCACGGGGAGGGCCTCAGTTTGGAGCTGACGGGCTTCTTATTGGACCACCTTTAGCTCCAGTGATGGGCGGATTTGCTGGTCCGGATACGAACTCAGGGATTGGTGACTTGAGGATGGCTAAGTCTAGATTGGGCTTGTCATATGCTAAGAGAAAAGATGGGAAAGAATCTATCTTTGGAGATGAAACTAAGGTTAATCTTGACGATGTCTTGGTCTTTTGTAGCCCTTACATTGCGTCTTTGTATTAGAATTTAAAATTACACTATTAATTGAGAACAAATATTTAAGTTCAAGATTTATGCAACAACTCATCCACAACTTCTGCATATTGTGAAGTTGAGAAGCAGATAATGCGGTCTACCAAACTTTTGCAGTAAAGCATATTCAATCTAAACAAGATAAACGTACGTGACTGAAAAGAGTGATACATATATAATCATTCAGATTCAAAAACAAGGTTGCATGAACTGGAAGCCATGACCACACCAGGCAACTCGTTAAGCATTTCTCGTCTTCTTGCTAACCTGAACAGCCTTTTCGGTTCAATGGGATCTATGATGAAAGTTGCCTTTTTCAACTGCTGTGAATTGCTTAGAATGTATCTAGCCACTTCTCTCTCCTCTTCTCTAATCCAGTCAGGTCTTGTCCACACAAACGTCTCGAGATGGGACAACAAACATTCAGGGACGCACTTTGGTTGGTTCCATTCCCCTGGGTCCATATTTTTCTTATCATCAACCAGCTTTGACTTTTGAGACGAATGCTACACAAAGGAAATGCAATGTCTATAACTAACGAGAGACCATCAACAGTAATTAGCTAACTAATAATAATAAAATGGCTTACATCAATAAGCTTCAGAACTTGTAGTTTAGGAGAGCTATCAAGAATGAGCGTAAGTAGATCCCACCACGCCTTTTTATGTGTATACATATCAAGATGCACCAGCTGATAGAAGATCATACCGGTAGGATATGCAATCTATTCATGGGTGATACTTATTAGTACACCAAAAAAAAGGGAACAACAACAAACAATATATAAAGTTACCTCCAAAGGTGATAAGTCCAGGGACAGACGTTTGGCTGACTTGAGAGACCCCATAATAATCTCATTGGTTGTATTAGAAACACATATAATATTCGCCTCTACTAGCTCAGGCGCGTTCTCAATCAGACAATACTCATAACCTTTTAACATTTGAACATTCAAGTATTGCAAAGAAGGAACGTTTATCACAAAGCCCCCATTATGTTTTCCATAACTCTCACCTCCGAAAATCGATAGTGTCTTCAGAGATGGAGAGTCGATAACGAATTTCACTCCATCTTTATAGTGGAAACCTCGATGGACGACCAAATGTTCAAGATTAGGGCAGCTAGAGAAAAGGTTACGAATAGATTCACCGTCTTTGAACACCACAGAATGAAGGTGAAGAGTTCTAAGGGACTTGAGAGACACCGGAGACGAAATATCAAGAAGAACGTAATGCTTGAGTTTCAAGGTCTCAAGTGTGTCCAAACTAAACAAGCTGCTTGGAAATCTGATTGGATCGCCACAAAGAAAATGAAGATCAAGCTCGATCTCGCGCACATGGCGTGTAACTGCAATTCCAGCCCATATTCCAATGTATACATCCTCACATCTATCGTTAACTTTCAGATGAAGAGCCTCCAGAGAGTTGTGTGAAAGCAAAGACTTGGTAACATTCTCTGCGAATTTCTGTACGTTCCCTTTAGATTCAAACTTGAGAATCGGCACCATTTTCCAAACACACCGCCATCGCTTAGACAGAACACTTGTTGCTATCACAAGTTTTGTTGGGAGTAAAGACAATATCTTTAGAATCAAAGGTTCAGGTAACTCACTGATTCTGTCAACAACATCTCGCTTCCTCATACTTTCTCCACTAAAATCAAACAAAGGAAAAATATTAAGATTTTAAAGAGTAATAGTTTGAAGCTTACTGTCAATAACTGTTCAAAGTAGGATTGTAGACAGTCGAACAGAGAAACACTTACCGTTGTTCCATGTCTACAACTTCAGATTCGTTCCTTCCCCGATTCTCCTACCGAACAACTGAGCGCAGACAAAAAGAAATCGAAATTTATAAGAAACTACTAGGGCTTCATGATTTAAACCAATCGGTTTTGTTCCGACCGAACCGAATCCAATTCGTCTAATGGGTTAATATTCAATTAGTACTAATTTATAAAATAGAAAATTATTAGTTTTTTTTTGGTCAACTTTTACAAAGGTAAGAGTATCATTAACGGTGGTATTTAATGGGTATCTTAGGGTAATTATGTTTTAAAAGAAAATGAAAACCAGAAATCAAGGGAAGAAGTGTGTTATTTGGGGTAAGGAGCATATGATATTCAGAGACATGTACTGGCTATCGACAGGAGAGATGAGAGGTGGATTTTTAATTTTGTATGTGTTATATCTCTTTCTCTCAAACCTATTTCCCTTTGTGTTTGAGAAGGCGATTCTCTCTCGTCTCCGTGGTTTGTCGACAAAGCGGCAATGTTCCGTTTCTCCGTGGATCGACGATGAGATGAAATCATGTCTCTCTGTGGGTCATCGACGAAATCTCGATTGTGTATTCGTTCGTGTCTCGTCGAGGAAACGATGACGGACCTCTCTCTCGGTGGTTGTCGTTGAGGAAGGAAATCGCCGATTCTCTCTCTCTCCGTGGGTATCCTCGACGGCGATGGACCGCTCTCACTCTGTGGATCAACTCAAACGGAAAGGTAAATCTATGGTTGTGTTCTTCGATCATGCATGTATAGATTAGTCTTCTTATTGATCTGATCGGAAGTTTTATTTGTTTGTAGGTCTGAATCTGTTTGACAGCGACGGAGATCTCTGTCGGTGGCTCTCCACGAATCGCTCTGGTAAAACTTTTGTTCCATGTTCTGTCTATTTTAAAAAAGTTTATGTCTGTTGATTCTGTTGGGTGTATCAGTCTAGTTTGTTTGTTGCTATAGTGTATCAGTTTTGCTAATATTTCTGTCGGTTGATTGTGTTGGGTGTAGGTGTATAATATTTTGTTTCAATCTCGATATGTTTGTTGCAAGTTTATGAATTTTTATTTGGCTTCTTTTTGTTGTTTAACATTTTTGGTTTACGGCTTTGTGTGGTGAGATGAAGAGATCATATCGCTTTTGGGCAAGCTCTATCGAAAGAGAGTTGAGGAAGGTTCATCGATCAAAGGACAACAACATCAATACAGATTTGTGCTACTCTTCCATCTGGTGGGTAAATGAAATGAAATAAATTGAATTAGCTTCTTTAAGATTACGGTTGAGTATGGTAATAAATATAACTAATGGTTTAGTGTAAGATTGTGGTTAAGTATGGTAAATGAGTTAGATAAATGTCAAATCTTGTTGGTTGTTTATCCTGATGTCTCTTGATCGACTTGTGTCTGAATTATGCGTTTCTTTTTGAGATAGAAATGAGTAAACATAGAAATGTTTGTGTAATTAATGAGTTAGCTAGAAATCATTGTCCAATCGTGATTAATGAATTAGCTATATGTCAAGTCGATGTGGTTGTGATTATGTTGAATGCGTTTAGGTTTTTTATTTATTTCTGATGAACACAATCCCTCTTCTCTACCAGCTTTCTTTCTTCTATTAAACACCATCCACCTTTGTCTCTTCTATTAATAAACTCGCCTTCCTTTCTTTGTCTATACTCGCCTTCCTTTCTTAGTCTAAAATCCCAATCCTTCTCGGTTTCATCTTTGTTCTTAGACATTTCGATATGGATTCCAATCCATATTTGCCTTTTAATTTTGTTGATCTTTTTCAGAGTCAACAAGATAGTGGCACAGGTTTAGAGTTTTCTCCTATTCCTTTGTTTGACATGCAAGCAACTGAAGACTCAAACTTTGACCAAGGCACTCATGTGGAGCGTAAAGAACGAAGAACGTGGACGCCTACAAAAGATGTAGTCCTCATCAGTGCTTGGTTAACACGAGCAAGGATGCCATTGTGTCAAATGAGCAACGGTCTGTTGCTTTCTGGAAAATGATTGCAGCGTACTACTCGGCTAGTCCTAAGATTGCTGCGTGTGAGAAAAGAGAAGCGGGCCACTTTAAGCAATGTTGGCACAAGATGAACGACTTGGTGTGCAAGTTTTGTGGAGCTTATGAAGCAGAAAGCATAGGAAGAACGAGTGGCCAAAGTGAGAATGATGTTGTCACACATGCTCACGAAATTTACTTCCACAGCTACAAAAAAAGAAAGTTCACCCTTGAGCATGCTTGGAGGGAGCTTCGAAATGACCAGAAGTGGGCTGACCTGTCCTTGGCTAGAAATCAAGGTGATTCCAAAAGGAGGAAGTGTGAGGACAGTTCATATTCAGCTTGCTCTGAAGCAAAAGAAACTGCCAGTGCTGGAGGTGATGAAGGAACCACTCGTCCCACGAGTGTTAAGGCAGCAAAAGCCCGTGGGAAGAAACCGATGGGTGAAGTGAAAGAGTTGGCTGGATTTCAGACAATGTGGAGTATCAAGCAACAGGATTTGGCCGTTAAGGAAAAGCTCTCGAAGCTGAAGATTCTTGAGAGGCTCATTGGAAAACAAGAACCTCTTGCTGATTATGAAGAATCTCTCAAGAAGATGTTAATTAAAGATTTGTATAATATCTCTCAAGAAGATGTTAATTAAAAAGCTCTTAAGTTTAAGTCTCGGTTTGTTGTTGTTCCCGGTTTAGTTCTTAAGTTAATTCTCGGATTTTAGTGTCCTGTTCTGGTTTTGCTTACTGTTGTTGTAATGGTTTTTCCTCTGCTTATGCATTAACGTGGTTGTTCTCTTGTCTAAATACTTGTGTTTCTTTTCTTATGTATTACCGTGGTTTAGCTCTTCTCTATTTGTTTGTGTTCCTTTGCTTAAGTATTACCGTGGTTTAGCTCTTCTCTAAATACTTGTGTTCCGTTGCTTATGTAATACTTGTCCTAATGCAGGTAAGAAAGTAGATGACAGAGGTGAAGTGAAAGGAGCATGGAATTGGCAGTGGAAGTATCACAGACTTGGCAGTGCACTTTCTTTGTCACGGGCCACAAAGTAACAAACACAAAAAGCTTATGTCGATATGACTTGTAGTGTCTTGTATTGCTTGTAGTGTCACGGACCACTTGTAACAAAATACCACTTGCATTTCATTTTGCTTCTCTTTATGTATCTCTCTCGACACGGAACTCACCATTCTCTCTTCTCTTTCTTGAATAAAACAACAAAGCCAGTCTCATCTTTCCTCTCTAGTTATAACAAATCAAACCTCATCTTAAATCAACACCACATCTTCTTCTTTTTTTCAAAACCCAAACACATGGCTTCTTCTTCTCAAAACAATCTAGACGAATCATTTGATGATACATTTGATGAGGTCTTTGATCAATATTTTGATATATATTATGATCAAGCCTTTGAAAATTTTAGCATTCAAAAGTGATCAAGAAGAACAAAGGAGGAAAAAAAATGAGCTTACATCGAAAGAAATTGTGAAGAAGGTAATATACGTCTATGGAATGATTATTTTAGTGAAACTCCGACATATCCTGGAATTTTTTTTCGATGACTTTTTAGAATGAACAAGACATTGTTCACGCACATTGTTGATCGACTCTCAAACGAAGTTGAATTCTTTAAACAAAAAAAGAGATGATCTCGGAAGGGTTAGTCTCTCTCCACTTCAGAAGTGTACAGCAGCCATTCGTGTCTTGGCATATGGTAGTGCGGCTGATGCGGTCGACGAATATCTCCGGCTCGCTGAAACTACAACTCACTCTTGTTTGGAGAATTTGGTGGAAGGAATTATTTATTTGTTCAGAAATGAGTACCTAAGAAGACCAACACCAGCAGATCGTCAACGTCTACTTTATATTGGAGAGAATCATGGATTTCCCAGGATGATAGAAATCATCGATTGTATGCATTAGGAGGTGAAGAATTGTCCCAACGCTTGGAAAGGACAATATTCTCGTGGCTCGGGAAAACCAACAATCGTTCTCTAGGCGGTTGCTTCATATGATCTCTGGATATGACATGCCTTTTTTGGACCTCCAGGTACCTTAAATGATATCAATGTTCTTGATCGCTCCCCCCTTTTTTTATGACATAATAAAAGGTCAAGCTCCGAAAGTCACTTATTCTGTCAAAGGAAGATAGTATAATTTGGCTTACTATCTCACCGATGGTATTTACCCGAAATGGACAACTTTTATCTAATCTATTCCACTACCGCAAGAGCTGAAAGCGGTTTTATTTTCTCAACGGCAAGAAGCTGTCCGAAAAGATGTCGAGCGTGCTTTTGGAGTCTGGCAAGCTCGTTTTGCCATTGTTAAAAACCCGACACTTTTTTGGAATAAAGTCAAAGTTGGGAAGATTATGAGAGCCTGTATCATACTCCATAATATGATAGTAGAAGACGAACGAGAAGGATATACTCAGTATGATGTTTCAGAGTTTCAACAAGGAGAAGACAACGGAAGTTCACATGTCAATCTCGCATATTCTACGGTTATTCCTTCAAATAGCGTCAATATGATGGATGTTCGAACGAGAATTCGTGATAAACAAAGGGATGAAACAACTGAAAGCTGATTTGGTTGAACATGTATGGCGTAAATTTGGACGTGATGAAGACAACAACTGAACTCGTATGCTTCTGTCAAATTATTATTGTTTTTTACTAATCTTTGTGTTTTATGTTTTTATTTTAAAATAAATGTTTAAAATGTAATCTTTTACTATGTTTTAATAAAATGTTTAAGTTTAATAATAAAACTCAATAAACCAAAATTTGTTGTTTACTTAAAAAAAAAATTTAAGAACCCTTATTTAAGAGACCCGCATTGGAGCGTGTCAATTTGCGGATCTCTTAAGTGGGTCTCTTAAGTCACTTTTACAATTAAATGCATTAAAAAAGACCTAAATAGAGTATGTGGGTTGAGGGTGCTTTAAGAGCATCCGCAACAGGGATCCTTAAAGAGGAATCTTTAGAGAAAAATTATTAAATAATTAGTAGACTCTACCAAAA